GTTTTGTCTTTTTTAGTGAAAAGACAAGGATATGTGATTTTTTCCAATGTTAGGTTATTTTTATTAATCGATTATGTTGTTTTCCTTTTATTTAAATCGATGTAACTTTTTTTTAATTATAAGTAATGTTTTTATTTGTTTCATTTATCAATTAATTTATTGAATAATTGAAAATTAAATAAAAATTGGTGATGTATAGTGATGAGTACCCTAAAACGGTGGAGACACACAACACTTTTGATGTGATGTTGTGACTACTTCTATGGCCTTATAATCTTTTGTATAATGTCTAGCATCTCAATCACATGTGATTAGATTCCATAACTAACCGATGTTCCAGACAAGTCTCCATTTATATTGCTTGTCATAAAGTCATATAATATGCATGAAGTGTTACCGTTAATATATGTGTTACAACTAACAATATATTTAAGGCATTGTTCACATTACCAAAAGTATTGTCTTAAACATCAACTATAAGCATTCCCTATTCTTTTAGGGAGGTGATATTGCCACGGCAATTTTTGATAGTTCCACTTAAAAAAATATGAATCGACAATTTTGCCCCTATTTACTTAAAAGAAAGCAACCTCGTTTTAGTTTTCAAAACGCACACCATAAATCCAGGATAATAACTGCTCCTATAAAATAGTATTTTTTTTACTGAAAGAAAATTATATTTTCAAACATCTCCATAATCTCACATCCCATGGAGGAATCGTTTGGAGTTTCGGAGTGTGATCATACAAATTAAGAATTGAAAACAAATGAACCTTTGTAGCTTCTGTTTTCAAATAAGCATCTGATATCTGGAAGATGACTTTATATCACTCAAAACAAAAGAGGCCTCGTCATAAATATACATCACTAAACTACCTTTCGTCACAGTCATGGCGACAAAAGGATTGGATTTGATTGATTTTGTATTTCCCATATTATGGTTCAAACTGTACCACCATGTAGCCTTCTTTGTTCGTTTTGTTGCAATCGCAATATCACCTCCCTATATGTATTCCCTCATCCTCCTAGTATTGGAATCAAATCACAGCCCTTCCTCCTTAATAACGTCTACAAAATGCAACGGCTATAAAGTGAAAGTAACTGAGTCAATGTTTCACCTAGTCCTTAGGTTAATTACCTTCGTGTACCACTATTCCTGTTTATCAGGAGTTAAATTAGGTTTCAGTTTTGTCTTCTGTGTATAAATTCTTGTATATGTTTAGTTTTCAATACACAATTTACAATTCAAGTCTTTCAAACTATTATGGTATCAGAGCAGTAAGATACCAATTAGGCAAAAGTCACAAACTTCCATTTCAATCTTCTCATATTTCCTGTTCCAAACCTTTTGAGCTTATGTATTCAGATGTTTGGGGCCCATCCCCGTTATTATCCATTAATGGAAATCGCTATTTTGTGTTATTTATTGATGACTTTACAAAATTTGTGTGGATCTATTTTCTTCAAACCAAATCTCAAGTCTTGCAAACCTTTATTCATTTTCGTACAATGATAAAAACTCAATTTGGATGTGAAATACAAAGCTTCCAATCAGACTGGGGAGGTGAATACCGGAATGTTTCTTCTTATCTCGTTGCCTCTGGCATTAATCACCGTATTGCATGCCCATATACTCCCAAACAAAACCGGTTTGTTGAGCGTAGAAATCGAATTATCATTGAAAAAGGCTTGTCGTTACTTGCTCACTCCTCCCTACCCCATGACTACTGGGAACACGCTTTCAAAACAGCCACTTATGTTCACAATCGTACCATCACACCCACTCTCAATTACCATTCACCCTATTCTACTCTTTATAAAAAGGAACCTGATTATGGTTTCTTACGAACCTTTGGCTGTCTTTGTTACCCATTTCTCCGTCCCTACCACTCCCATAAATTGGATTTTCGATCTCTACCGTGTGTATTCTTAGGGTACAGCACCTCTCACAAAGGTTACTTATGCCTTCATCGCCCCACCTCCAGACTCTACATTTCTCGACATGTTATATTCAATGAAGAATTGTTCCCGTTTGCTACTAACCCGTCCCATACCGAATCATCTCCTTCCAATGTATCTCCCACTTCACCTACCTCCCCTAATCTTTTACAACAAGCAAGCCTCTCTGTACTTCCACCTACTCCTCCCTCCCCCCTCTTATCTCTCAGTCAAAACCACCATCAACTGTTACCCCTGCTGATTCAAATCCTTCAATCTCCTCTCCACTCACATCATCTCACTCTTCCTGTCCATCTCATAGACGCCCTACTCACAGTTCCCAAGCCAAACAACACCCCACACACATCTTTCGCCCTGCTGCAAACAACAAACACAATATGATAACTCGTGCTCGCACCAACTCTCTCAAACCTAAAACTTTTCTCACAAATACAGTCTCTCCTCCCACCTCGGAACCAAGAAACATCCCTCAAGCCCTCAATAATTCTTTTTGGTTAAATGCAATGAAAAATGAATTTGACGCTTTAATGCGTAATAACACCTGGACACTTGTGTCATTTCCATCTAATGCTAACATTGTGGGTTGTAAGTGGATTTTCAAGGTCAAAAGGCATTCGGATGGCACTATTGAACGCTACAAGGCTAGACTCGTGGCTAAAGGTTTCAGTCAAGAAGAAGGCATTGATTTCTTTGAAACCTTTAGTCCCGTAATCAAACCAACTACCATCCGCTTGGTTCTCTCCATTGCTCTATCTAATGGTTGGACGATTCGACAATTAGATATCAACAATGCATTCCTCAATGGAGTCTTAACTGAGGAAGTCTACATGGAACAACCACAAGGTTTTATAAGTCAGTCTAACCCTCATGCAGTTTGTAAACTTCATAAAGCTATATACGGGCTCAAACAAGCCCCGGGAGCTTGGTCCAACCAACTCAAACATCACCTGGTTCATCATGGTTTTCGCGCCTGCCACTCTGACACATCATTATTTGTGCACAAGTCCCCTGTTGTTATCATCTATGTGTTGGTTTACATTGATGATCTCATCATCACCGGAACCAATCCTGATATCGTCCACAAAATCATACAAAATCTCAATCATACGTTTGCACTAAAAGATATTGGTAATCTCACATATTTTCTTGGTGTTCAGATCACCAAATCAACACAGGGGCTTCAACTATCACAACAAAAGTATATTAGTGATATTCTTCTTCGCACCAAGATGACAGATGCCAAACCAGTCACAACTCTAGCAGATCCATCCGTGCCTCTCACGCAAACTGGTGACCCATTCTCTGACCCACGATTATACAGACAAACAGTTGGTTCTTTACAATATGCTACTATCACTCGCCCAGATATTGCATTCGCTATCAATCGTGTCTATCAATTCATGCATGCTCCTACCACACTTCATTGGCAAGCCGTTAAACGCATCCTCTGCTATCTGAATGGCACAATACAACATTGCCTTCACTTTCAATCACACAAGGTGTCTTCTCTTCTGGCTTATTCTGACTCCGGTTGGATCTCTGACAAAGACGATAGTCATTCTCAATATGGCTTTGCAATTTTTCATGGTCCTAACTTGATTAGCTGGACATCTCGCAAGCAAAGGGTTGTTGCTCGCTCCAGTACAGAGGCGGAATATCGCTCTCTAGCCTACACTACTGCGGAATTACTATGGATACAACACTTACTACGAGATCTTCATATCAAACTTCCACAGTCTCCCATTATTTTTTGTGACAATGTCGGTGCCACATTCATGTGTAAAAACCCAGTCATCAGCTCAAGATCCAAGCATATAGCTCTTGATTACCACTTTGTTAAAGAACAAGTTGATAGTCAATCCCTTCGTATTAGTCACATTTCATCCCGTGATCACCTTGCCGATATATTCACCAAACCACTTAGCAAGGATCGCATTGCCACACTTCGCACCAAGCTTCAAGTTCAACACCCACTTGAGCTTGCAGGGGGGTAATAACGTCTACAAAATGCAACGGCTATAAAGTGAAAGTAACAGAGTCAATGTTTCACCTAGTCCTTAGGTCAATTACCTTCGTGTACCACTATTCCTGTTTATCAGGAGTTAAATTAGGTTTCAGTTTTGTCTTCTGTGTATAAATTCTTGTATATGTTTAGTTTTCAATACACAATTTACAATTCAAGTCTTTCAAACTATTACTCCGACATGGCGAGCAAACCCGGTAACGACAGCGCAAGCTCTAGCGATGTCAAGGGCTCAAGGCTAAGCGTATGTTCACCGGCGTTTTGCAATCGACAACATCTATGCTGCTTCTCTATGCTAAGCAAACGGTTATAGTCTCGAAAAGTTGAACAACAATACAAAGATCTATCTGGGGATGACGAAGAAACTAATTAATTTCCTCCATAAGCAACAAAGCGATCAAGTTGCGCCACCGGATGAAGAGAGCATGAGAAGAAGGAGGTGAGCACAGAGGCGACAGGCTGCCGGAAGGAGATACTGATAGGGAATAAATATCAGCCCCTGTATTTCTCCGGTGTGATCTATTATGAAGAAGACGGGAACCTACTTAGTGAGTTACCTATTCGAGTGCAAGTCCGTTTCCGGGATATGTTTGTACTCCGGCAACGTCCAGTTGGACCTCAACGCCCGGGCGAGAAATGACATCTGAGTGATGTCAGCTTTGTTATGTAAAATACTCGTTTTTTGTTTTCCGGTGAGAACTTCGTACGTCAAATCCCAACTCTGATATCCGCTTGAAGATCTTAGGTTTTTTTTAAGATAATATTGGTAGTTCTCTCTCTAAAGTAAAGAAGGGTATAATTGTCGATCTGTATTATTTTCCAGTGGAAGTATAAAAATTTACGGTGGCAATATCACTTCCCATTCTTTTATAATGACAAGTAAAAAACCCAACACCAACCGTAAAAAAAGCCATTTTCTTCACATCACAGCAACTTCCATTTATGCATAAAGATAAACCACAAGTCATAAACATGATTACACAAAAAGTTGCTCACAATCTTTCATATTTAGAATACATTAAGCAGAAACAGTAGCCTCTCCTGCATGTTTAGCGACACAGGCACTAAGTTCATCTTTCTTAGCACCCACAACCTTGTCCACTATCTTTCCTTCCTTAAGAAACACGAATGTTGGAATTGACCTCACTGAGTACTCCTGAGCAATGCTCTGTAACACCAAGAAAAACACAAATTCCTTATTTTTACACACCCAAAATAGCCCTAACACAATTTGAATACGAAGATGATTGGAGTAAATTTACCTTAAGTTCATCAACATCAACCTTAAGAAAGGTAACATGTGGAATATTTGTAGCAAGCTCAGCCAAGATTGGTGCAATCATACGGCAAGGACCACACCATGAGGCTGTGAAATCCACAACCACCTGTCATTAATAACTCATATATATGAATCAATAAACGATATTATATTGTTGAATCAATGTATTCTAAAACTAAATCCAAGCTTACAAACTACCTACTGAACATACTCGAAAGGATAAATCCCCAAATTAAAGCAAAGCCATATAATCGAATGATAACGAATAAACTCATATCATAAAACAAAAACAAATTCTAAGTAGATGAACATAACAAGGAAGTTGAGGTTACCAATTTGGTAGAGCCGACGTGCGTGTCAAACTGCTCCTTCCATTGGTCGACGGTGTGGCAGCCGATAACAACTCCTTCTGACGCCATTTTTACCCCAAACTTGTCTCTCAAGAAAAGTTAATTCGAATTCGTGTAGCTTTCAAATATGTGTTTAAAGGTTGAAGTATGAATGAAGATTGTGTAGCACCGAACGCTGTTTATATAGGGGCATATCCCTTTCATGCCTGATCAAAATTACAGAAATGATCCGCAACTTGTTAAAGGTCAGAGGATCGCTGTTATTAAAAAAAGACGCATGAAATGTAAACGCATATAATAAATATTTCTTAATCATTCTAAATTTGTCGATGGGAATAAACAAAACGGGCGTGGGACCGAAGCGGGAACAAACAAGGGCCGTCGTGGCTTTTAGTAATATATCTGAAGCGTTTTGTAAAATTTAAAAACAATGTCAAACTTTGTTGTTTGAATTATTTTGATTTCTTTCTAAAAATACTAGTTGTGTTTGTAACAAAAATTATCAAATCTGATTTTATCCGTATGATTATAACTAGTATGATTATAACTAGGTGTAAAATCCATGTATTATATGAATTTATTTAAAAGAAAAATCAAATATGAAATTTCTAAATATTTGAGAAGTTTGAATTTATAAGAAAAAATTTTAAAAATATATTGACTTATTAAATTAAGTGTTTTTTGTTCTCTTTTAAATTTAAACAAATAATTCGGATAAATAAACAAATGAAATTAATAAGGTTTTAATTTAAAATTTTTAAAATTAGAAGGAAAGTCAATTAATGAAATTGATATACATTTATTGTTACATTTCTTACAATTATTACATTTAAATATTATGTGAAATTTGATAAAATGGAAAAACCCACAAAATATCATATGGAAAAATTTAATTGAAAATAACCACAAAATAACATGTGACGAAATCAATAAGAATATAACATGTGTTAAAAAGATTTTCATTTATTAGAGTAAATTTGATAATAATCCAATGGATAGATTAATTTGGCCTGGTTTTGTTAGAGTCGATTTTGATCTTATCTAATTTTCTAATCAGATCTGATCCAAACAGGAAATCCAGTTTTTATGTGCACCTTGGAAATCCAGTTTTTATGTGTACCTATAGTGATAGTTTGCTATTTAAGGCTTTCAAAAACATTTTCCAAAGAACACAAAACTAATTCCTTGATTAATGTTAGATGTGAATATCTAGTTAGTTCACGATGGATGTGATAATTTAAGGACATGAACTCAAATCCATTGAGGGGTCCCTGAAGATGGATAAGCATGACCCTTATGGAAAGAAAATTTAGATATTTACCATAATAACAAAAGAAAAAAGTTGTAGGAAATTGCAACATACATTACTCTTTCTATCAAAATAGGAAATCTACTTTTTTTGCTTGTGTCCTTAACATTTGTTTGAGGTGGTTTCTTGAGTTGTAGTTTGGCTCCTTAATTTTCTAGTTGTACAGGTCAGGGCGTCAAGTAGTCCTTTAGTTTTTCATGCTCTTAAGTTTGAAAATCTTCAAGACCATAAGCAAAAGTTCCTAGTTTCTCTTCATTCCATGGAGTTCAAGTATTTAAGCAAGCTTAACATTTCCCAAGTTTCAAGTTACATGTTCCTGCCAAATAAGTCTTCAAGACTCAAGGTTTTCCTTGACTTTTAGTGCTTTGTAAAGCTGTCAAATTTAATTGTTCATAAGTACTATTTGTTCATTGTCAAATATATACATTGCAACCTAATTATGAGAGGGAAAGAAAATGAAAAAGACATTATGAGTTTTATGTGTGCGTTTTTCATCACAAAATAATAAAAGAGAGACCGGCCTCGGGTAGTGGAGATTTAAATACACCATCCTTTGATATCAAAAACAAGATATGCACCACCATAACAACTTGCAAGTCAAACGCAAAATAAAACTCACCAAGTAAGAATACAAAAATATAGTTCAAGCAAATAAGAAAAACATGATATGTCTTCATTAATTAAGGAAGAAACGTGAAATCTCATGCTTCTTGCTTGACGTAGTCGAAAGAGAGAGGAGGATAAGGTGTTCTAGTAATTTAATTCTGCTTTATTAATTTTGACCAAATCTTAAAGTCTCGATTTCATTATTTTAATTACCTGCAATAATCAGTGATCTTTCTCTTCATTTCTAGTTTTTCCAAGCAGGGAATACTTTTTTTCACTTGATTGTGCAAAGATTCTCATTCTATCCATCTCTTTAAGTTCTCAATCCTGTATATTAGTTGTTTCTTAGCTACCTAATAATGGGAACAAAATGTAAGGAAAACATGAATTTAGATATAACACCCAAAAACAAACTAATATAAAGTACAGTGAGTGCATATGCCAGTTGTTTTAAATGCTTTTTCAAGTTTCACATATCACCCGACACATTTTTAAAACCTAACCTTATTTTAGTTTAACAAATTAGATATTAAATGAATGACCAAAAGCTAAAAAAAATAATGACTGATCCAAAAAAATTTTCATTACTACCACCAAATAGTTTAAAATCATAAAAGGATTATACTACCTGAACCAACCATATAAACAATTTGATTACCACCTTCAATTATTCTGCTTAAAGAACATGAAATATTTCCTTCTTGCATCCTTTCCTCTTCATCTTGAATTGTTGCCTTATTATTCTCACTTTTTCATCTAATACCCGTTACTCTTCCTTTGTTGGTGGTTATAGAGAAAGACGATAGACAAGGACAACTTAACTATTTAAACGAGAGCTACAGCTCTGATAACTTTTATTTCACTTACTTCACTTTCTTTCTCACTTACATTTTTCTTACAAACATTAGGTTCTTATATATGAGTCCAAACTAAGAAATACTTAACTTAGAAGAAAACTTAAAGGTTAAGTAAAACTTAATAAGGAAGTATTCTTAATGCTTAAGAATGTTTCATGACTAAGAAAACTTCATAACTAAGAATACTTAATGATTAAGAAAACTTAATATCTAAGAAGACTTAATAACTAAGAAAGTTGTTGATAACCATTCTTGATTTTTATTTTTAACCTATTTTTGTTGACTTGTGTTGACTAAGTTGGGTTTGACTTCTAACACTCCTCCTCAAACCCAACTATGCATTCCAAGCATCTTCACCATTTTCTGAAATCTTCCTGTCTTCAACGGCTATGTAAAAATATCAGCTAGCCGATGTTCAGTGCTACAATGCACCAGCTCGACCACTTTATCTTTCACATATTTCCGAATGAAATAGTACTTTATGTTGATATACTTGCTTCGACTGTGTGACGTAGGATTCTTCGAGAGTAAGATAACAGACTTATTATCAACATACACCTTAACTAGATCTTCATATGTGAAATATAATTCACTCAAAATATTCTTCAACCAAATAGCTTGACAAGTACATACTGCAGCTGCCATGTATTCTGCTTCACATGTTGAAAGAATAAGTGTTTGTTGCTTCTTTTAAGACCATGAAAACATTGTTGATCCAATATGAAATGCATATCCAGAAGTACTCTTACCATCATCTATATCTCCACCATAATCACTATCTGAACAACCAATTTTGCATCTTGATAGCATGTGTAAAACAAACCACGATTTAGCGTACCTTTTATATATCTCAAAATTCTATTAGTTGCAGTAACATGATCTTCCTTCGGCTTTTCCATGTATCTACTGACTACTCCAACTGCATACATAATATCTGGGCGAGTAAAAGTTAGTTACCTTAAGCTTCCCACCAAGCTTTTAAACAATGTTGGGTTTACAGATTCTCTAACTGATTCAACACTTAGCTTCATTCCTGCTTCTGTTGGTGTGCTCACTGGTTTACATTCTTCCATTCTGAACTTTTGTAAAATCTGCTCTGCATACTTCTTTTGTGATATAAATATTCCATCCTTTATTTGATTTACTTCGACTCCAAAAAAAGTATCATATTTGGCCAATATCTGTCATCTCAAATTCTGTAGTCATTACTTTCTTAAAATCTTCAAACATACCTAGATTGTTTCCGGTGAAGATCATGCCTTCCACATATAAACACACAATCATAATATCTCCATTTTTTTTCTTTTTGTATAAAGTGCATGTTCGTATGGACTCTTCACAAAGCCATACTTCTGGAAGTTCTCATATATTCTTGTGTTCCAGGCTCTTAGAGCTTGCTTTAAACCATATAAGGCTTTCTTCAATTGGAAGACTTTATCTTCTTGGCCTTTTTGAACATAACCTTTAGGTTGTTCAATATAAACTTTCTCTTTAAGATATCCATTTAGGAATACTGACTTCAAGTCTATCAAATAAATCATCCATTGATTTTAAGCTGCAATTGCTGTCAAAAATATGATGGTATCGACTCTTGTTACTGGAGCAAATACTTCATCATAATCAATTCCATGTGTATGTTTGTATCCTTTTGCAACTAACCTTGCCTTGTACTTTTCAACTTTTCCTTTCTGATTGGTCTTTGTCTTATAGACCCATTTGACACCAATTGCTTTGTGTCCCTTTGGAATGCTTGTAAGCTCCCACGTGTCATTCTTCTTGATTGAGTTGATTTCTTCATCCATGTCTTTATTGCACTTGGTTTCTTCCCTATCTTCTTTATATGTTATTGGATCACATTCAACCATCAAACAAAATAATGAATAATCAAATGGGGTATCAATTGGACTTGTTTCATCATAGATATCATCTAGACTTCTCATCGTTGGTGGTACTCCCCCTGAACTATTGATGTTGCTACTACTTTGTGATGTTGATGGTGTTGATGTAGAAGTCATTGGACTGGCACTTGATGGAGGAGTCTGATCATTGTTTTCATCATATGGTGTATTGAAGTCATCATCATCATCATCATTATCATCGTCGTCGTCAAAGAAGAGACCTTCAATATTTCTTTCTTCGTTGCTCCATCTCCAATAATCAGCTTCATCAAATTCAACATCTCTTGAAATAATATCCCTTTTTGTCAGTGGGTTGTATTATGCCTTGCTACTTGTATCATATCCAATGAAGATACACTTCTCACCTTGATCATCTAGCTTTTTTTCTCTTTTGATCAG